GATAGATAGATAGATAGATAGATAGATAGATAGATAGATAGATAGATAGATAGATAGATAGATAGATATAGATAGATATGGAGGGAGGGAGGGAGGCAGGCAGGCAGGCAGGCAGGCAGGCAGGCAGGGCAAGAAAGATGGATAGATGAATAGAGATAATGATGAGAGATAAATAGATGTAGATTTTATTGGTGGATTAATTTCTAAAAGAAACGCTGAATAGCTAACAAACCGACCTATTAGCAGAAATGCAGCAAAATACAACAGAAAATAAAAGTACAAAGAAAATCAAGAAGTGGGTATTCCACAACCACCTTGTCCTCAAGGCTGAGAAAACAATTAAGCCCTCAATTAACTCTTGAGCAACAGAAGGATTGAGCCACACCAGTCTCTGCATTGATATAATGCAGGGTCCCTAAACTTGGCAACTTTAAGACTTGTGGACTTCAACTCCCAGAATTCTCCAGCCAGCATAGTGGAAGCAAAAAAGGGCAAAAGTAGAGCTTCACTTGCTGCTACTGAGCATGCTCGGAGTCAACGCGCCTTCCCCCTCCGTTGGCTTTCCACTGCTGCTACTGCGCATGCCCAAGACTGCCGGGCCGTCGGGATAACCCTGTAGCGCGCAGGCTCGTCGTGCGAGGGGAAGGCCGTTTAGGGCTCTCGAGAGGCTTCGGTTGGCGTTAGTACGCATGCTCCCAAAGGGGCGTGTTTCTCCAACAGCTGTTGGGGAGCGTGGCTGAGATTTACCGCGCATGCTCAGTAAGGACCTGTGGGGGAATGATCCTGGAAGGGAAGCGGTGTGCAGCTTCCAACTCGGAGCAAGTTGCTTCCCCCGGGCAGAGGCGGTGGGGTAGCCCGGAGCGTGGGGGTGGGAGAGAGAAGGGAGACCCCGGCCCTCCACAAGGGGACGAGGACCCCGGCAGGCAGCCCGCGAGGTTCGGAAAGGTAAGAAGACGCGCATCTAATCAGAGGCTTCACCGGTTGGATTTCTTCCTGCTCTCCAGGGGGGAGGGTCGCCTTCGGATACTGATAGCCCCTCCCTGAAATGGATGAGGGTTAGGGGTGGGCACCGCCTTACCTGTTGAATGCCAACCTGTCCCTTGGCTTTTTCCTAGAAAGAGAAGGAGCCTCTGTTAGGTTGTGCTAATGGGGAGGGGCGGGGAAGCGGGATAAAAACTGTCTGATGACCAGGAGGGGCTTTTCGTGGGTCCAGGAAGTGTCGGGAAAGGGCTGGGCTGCCCCCCCGCATTGGTAGGGAGGGGGCTTAAATGCAGGCTGCCTTCTGGGCTGACCCTTTTCTCCTCCTCCTCTTCCTTCTCCTCCTCCTCTCCCTCCCCCTCTCCTTCTCCCCTTCTCTTCCTCCTCCCTCTCCCCTCCTCCTCTTCTCTTTCTCCTCCTTCCCCTCCTCCTCTTCTCCTCCTCTCTCTCCCCCTCCTCCTCTTCTACACCTCCTCCTCTTCTTCTCTTCCTCCTCCCTCTCTCTTCTCCCTCTCCCCTCCTCCTCTTCTTCTCCTCCTCTTCCTTCTTTCTATCTTCCTCCCTCTCCTCATTGTCCTCTTCTTTTTCTTCTTCATCTGTTCCTCCTCCTCCCTCTCCCCATCCTCCTCCTCCTCCTCCTCCTTAACAGGGCCTCCTGGGGATGCCAGCACCAAGCCACAACAGTGCTGCCCCCACCGCAGAAGGGGTGCGAGAGATCATCCAGAAGGACCTCTTGGCCGCTGACCTAAAATGCAGCCTTTTTGCTTCCGCCCTGCAAAGCTACAAGAGGGACTCTGTCCTCCGGCCGTTCCCAGGACATTACTCCTCGGAGGACAGTAAAGACTTTGAGGCTCTGGTGAGTTGCCCCCACCCCTGCCAGGCAGAGACTATAGGAGGCATGGACAGGGAGGGGTCCTGAAGAGTAGAAAGGTGTGGCTCAAACCTCACAGAGCTGTTGGTCTTCTGAGCAAGGGGGAGTGGCAGGTTGGAGTCCCACTGGCCCGGTCTAAACTGGCAAGAGGCAGGTGTTCAGTTAACAAGATCGAGCCTATTCCAAAATGGCCATTTTTATCGATCGTGGCGGGAAAAGTGGTTTCTGGCATGCTTGCTGAGCCCTACACTGAACCTCTGAAATTTATGTATTCATTTATTTAGAGTATTTATATGGCCACCAACTCACTCTCAGTGAAGGCAGCTTACAAAAAGAAAAACTTAATATAGCCCTAGCCCTTAGACTTATATACCACTTCACGGTGCAGCCCTCTATAAGTGGTTTACAAAGTCAGCCTCTTGCCCCCAACAATCTGGGTCCTCATTTTTACCGACCACCCATCCGTCAACCAGCCACTGTTATGTTTTGCTTATGTAACATGTAAAAATTCAATTTCAATCAAACTGTGTTGTCTAGGTTCAATTACTTTTAGGAAAACATAATCAAAATATTTACAATAGTATTCATCACAAGGATAAAGTGTTTCCCTGAAAATAAAACAGGGTCTTAATTTCTTTTGACCTCCAAAATAAGAACTTGGCCTTATTTTCAGGGAGGTCTTACTATTTTTGAGGTGCAGGAGGTGGTGAGCGTGGTCTCCTCATGGCTGCTGCTATGTTGCAATATTTTTGTGGAGGGCTTATTTTCAGGGAAAGGTATTCTATAATAATAATATTTACTTATTAAATAAATAAGTAAATAAATATTATTAAATAAATGTTACATTAACAAATCTCCTTTATAACAATTCTTTTTATATCCCCGTATTTCTAACTTCTGTTCTTATTATCTAACTAGTAAAATAAGTGCTGTGTAAAAATAAATAAGTTTCTTTTTTTTCCTTAATTGTAAACGTTAATCTGTCCATTTCTGCACATTCTAATTTTTTTTTTAATTACACTCTCATCTGTTGGGATCTGTTCGCTTTTCCATTGTTGGGCAAATACAATTCTGACTGTCAATCAATAAACCACTTGATGGGCTCCATCCCACTCTGCGTTCCCAGGGCCAAAATCAGATCTTCAGGGCCTTGCAAAGTGGTGCCTCCAGTCTTCAGGTGTCAGAGTGGGGTCCAGTCTAATCTCTGCAGGAAAGCCGTTCCCAATGGAAAGGAGACACCCTAGAGAAGGCCCCCCTTCTGAGCCCTGCCAGATGTACCTCCTTAGGAGCAAGGACATGCAATATTCCTCCCTCCCATGGGTGGGCTTCAAAAATTTTAGCAAGCGAGGAGGGGGAAGTCTTGTGAACAGCATGAAAGAAATTCAGACTTTTGATTCCCTGTCTGCGGAAAGCGGAGACTTGCATTTCTTGTGGGTAGTTCACCTGTAGCTCATTTATTTTTTAAATTCTCCACCAGATTTGCAGGTTAGAGAAATTGGATGGGCACCTTTTTTGAATTTCTGAAGAAACAGGAGATCCTTCCCCATTTTTTCCAGCTAATCTGTCATCTTTACTGGCAACGGTGACACCACAACTGAAAAAGCCCCATGGAAGGTCGCTCCTTTCTTTTTAACATTTTCTCTTTTTTTTCTCCTCCCAAACCAAAACATAGGCAGTCAAAGAAGCTGCAGAAAGAGGAAATCTGGGATTAAAATTAAGGCAATTACTAAAAAATAAATCTTGGCCCATCCAGTTACTAAATATAGATTAACAGAGTTGGAAGGGACCTTGTAGGTCATCTAGTTGAATCCTGTCGCTCAAGCAGGAGACCCTACACCATTTCTGACAGATGGCAGTCCAGTCTCTTTGTGAAAGCCTCCAGGGATGAAGCCCCCACAACTTCTGAAGGCCACGTGACCATGGAGACGTCTTTGGACAGCGCTGGCTCTTTGGCTTTGGAACGGAGATGAGCAACACCTCCTAGAGTCGGGAACAACTAGCACATATGTGCAAGGGGAACCTTTACCTTTCCTAGTTAGTTAGGGGTTTGGTTTTAGCTGGTGATCAGAGATCAGAGGGTTGGAATTTGGGTCATCTGATGTCAGAAGCCTGCCCCTTTGCCTGAGGCCAAACAGGATGAAGCGTAGTAACAATGCAAGATGTCAGCAGTTCTTCCCACTCAGAAAGGGCTGGCTGGGAAACCTTTGTGATGGCCAGAAGTGGTGGGGGGGGGATGCACAGTTTGAATCCGGGGAATGATCTGTGAGGCTCTAAACGGCTCGAAGCTTCCAGTTCCTCCTCTCCGTTCTCATTAACACTTTTCTAAGAACAAATTGCCAAGCTAGTTTACCAATGAGCCATGTCCTTGAACCTTTGCCAACCAGCCTTCATCTTTTAAGTAATGATTTGAATGGCCTTCCAAGGAAATTGTTGGGCCTGCTGCTTGGAAGAGAGCCAAGGATTTCTTTGTTCCTTCAAGAAGAGCCCAGCTCAGATGGTTGGACCGATAGGGAAATTTTAGAAGTCCCTTTTCAGATGCAGGTGGTAATTTAATTGGCACCATGCACCCTTTCAACCGTGGAGTCCCCGTGTTCCCTATTTGACTGACAGGAAGAGAAATCATTCTTGCACTCCAACAATGCTCGGGACTCAAAAGCTGGGTTAACAAAACACACATCTGTGTGCTTCCCTAAACAAATTATATAGAGGTAGTTCTTGATTAACAATTGAGCTGAATATTTCCACTGCTAAGGAAGACAGTTAATAAATTAGTTTTGCCCCATTTTTATGACTTTTCTTGCCACTGTTTTATGTGAGCCACTGCTGTTTTTAAGTTAGTAACACAGTTGTTGAGTGAATCTGGCTGTCAGCGTTCCAAGTATCATGTAGAATTAAATCAGAGTCCAAGGCAAAATGATCCTTAAAGTTCCAATTTAATAAACCAGACATCTTAGCACATCTGTGTAATCCCAATTCTGGAAATTACATCAGAATCCCACCAGTTAAAAGTTCATGATCTTGTCCCCACACCCACAAATCCATCACATGGTCCAATCGTCTTCTTCCACGCTGGCATCTCTGCTCAGCTACTTCTGGTCAGGTGTAAAAGTGCGGAGACAAAAGATAACCTTGGTCTTCTAGAAAAGAATGCCAACCATACACCCCACAATCCTACTCCTTTCTATTCCCCTCTCCC